ATGAATTGAAACAAAAACACTATTCTTAAAGTTCTCCTGGAGCTTACCTGCTCTACACATCAGAAAATACCAAGTTCTCATTTATCAAAGATCCTGTTTATTTAAGAATACAGTAATAGCATGTGTCCCTTAGAAATTTACAAAGTAAAAACAACATTTGACTTATATTTAGGAACCAAGTAATCTAAAGCATTAAATATATAAAAGTCTATTCTGTAAGGAAAATGGAAATTTTATGGCCAGGATTCTCACCTGATCTTAATATCACCTACTATATACATGATGAGGTAATACTTAGCCTGCTTGAGCACCCCTTGGCAATAAACTGTTTACAGCTGATACAGCTTTAAGGAGAGAGTGGAGCCCTGTGCTAGGAAGAAATAAGGGAGACTAGAGAGAGGAAAGCAGGAAAGAGGGGAGAGCAGAGCCTGGTGCTAAGAGCAGAAGGGAGCGGAAACCAAGCCACCAGTGGAGGCAGCGCCTGGGGAACAGAGCCAGAAGTCAGGGCCAGAGACTGAGACAGGTGGATGGGGTCTAGCACTTGACCTACTGCCCTGAGAATAAATCTTGGTATGAGCCCATTTTTACCCCCAACATTCCGTCCTACTTGTTCGGTCTCAGTGAATTCTTAGTGAACTAGCCCAGAGCAGGGGAACCCCTCCTGGAGCGACTATTTAGTTAATGGAAATATTGTGGGGAGCAACAGACAGGACACTCATTTGCTACTTCTGGAGGGGCTAATACTACTCCAATACATATTGCCAATATCAGCACAATACCAATATGTAATACCAACTCTTTACTCTGAAAATTGGTAATTAAAACAGTAAGCATTTATCCTGCCTTTTCAGGAGGGGCTGAAATTCATTCCTAGTTGACAAGAAAAACTCCTTACAAAAGAATGCCAGTTAATACATACAGAACAAAGGCCAGTATGAGAAAAACATATGCAATCTCCAATGTAATAACTGATTCAGGCAAGGGCAATCAGGCCACTAAAAACATTTCAAGATTGTTGGACAACAAAGACAGTCACACAGTACTTTGACCACTTGCTAACTGTAAAAAGGAAAGATTACCTTTATATTGGAGAAAGCTAGTGGTCACCTCTTTGACCAAGTCAGTAAACTTGGCATTGCCAGTAGTGAAACAACCTGATATCATGTGCTCTATATATTACATACATTTTTAACAGTTCCAAACTGAATAACTCAGAAATGAAATGTCAATGTTAGAGACTTATGTTCAAATGGGACAGTAAAAAATATAAATAAGTAAAGAGCTTTTACAAACTTCTAGTGATAAGGTCTGAGAGTCAAATGTAAAACATGGTGACTACAGTTGATAACAGTTATACAACTGAAATTTGCTAACAAAGTAGAACTTAAATGTCATGAAAAAAGCTAAAAGAGAAAATTTAATCCAATAATGATTGTAGTAATGATTACACATTTGTGTATTATTTCTCAAAACTATCAAATTATACACTTTAAATTGGTGAATCTTATTTTATGCGAACTATACCATAAAGCTGATTAAAAATTAAATAAAATATAGTGTTTACCCTCCCCAAAAAAGAAAGCAAAATAACAAAATATTAACTGTTGAATCTAGGTGCTAAACAATCACTATAGTATTTTATTTCAACTCAGAAAATTTGAATAATTTTTAAGTTGAGAAAAAAAAAGTAAAAATTATTTTAATAGGAGACATACAACAGTCACATTTTTTCAGAAGTACCAAATAGTTGTCTTATCTAAAATGGCCATATTTTTTTACTTTTAATTTTCCTGAATATAGTGATTTTAAAAAAATCGAGATAAGATGCACAAATCTTAGTAGTACAGCTTAATGAATTCCCCATCCAGATCAAGATATCATATGGTCAAATTTAAATAAGGAGACCAGTGGCATTCACTGTTAAGAATGCAGATTTCTGGTGAATGGAAGGGTCGAAAGGAAACATGAGGTAGTAGTAGGAACTGCAAAGGGAAAAGTTTCAACAGAGAAAGTGCAGGAATCAGCACTGGAGAAAATTAAGATGGCAATATTGGAAGGCCAAAGAATGGAAGAAACTGTCATCACTTTAATCTTTGAAATCAGCAACTAAATTATATTAACCTTCCCATCCTCTTATCTCATGGTTTAATCTTAAAATTCTCTTTTGTACTTTAGACAAAAAGTCATGTACAATGGAAGGGATATTTATGTCATCAGTTCTCAGGATCAAATGCAACCCATGTTGTCCCAAAGTCTAAGGCCCAGTCAACACAAATTAGTATATTAGTCATTTCCCTGTGAACTTGTAATGGTCAATTGTGGAGCACCACTGGGATTTCCAAGTACGGTGATGTCAGGCATCTTAGTAATGAAGCTGATTCACTATAGAATCCTCTCGGTTGCCAGGTCATCACACTTTATTACCAGGGGTAAAAACAAGTCAACTGGGAAAAGATCAATTCAGTCAGGTCACATAAATGATGTTAAGCACTTGTCTGGAATTAGTTTCTTGTTATCAGACAAGAAAATACAGAGGCACGGGCTATAATAAGAGAAGTTCCACTATAACTCCTTTTAAATTAAAGTGGTAAAGATTCAACATGTACCTAAGCCATTGCCTATAGGTAGATAGTGGCTTCAGGCTCAGAATCTGCTTTTCAGACCTACTTTCAAAACTGATTCAGAGTGGGTATGGAGATAGGCCAAAGTCTAATTTTGCCTTCCAAATCTAGTCTAGTGGTATGTCTATGAGTAAACAAAAAAACAGTCCATGAATTTTTATCTATTTTTTTCTCCTCATCAGGAAAAGAGTGAGTCATATATTTTTACCTCCTAGCTAGACAAGTTCTCTGCATGCTTCTTCACTTAAAAAAACAGAAATAATACACCCATTAAAAAAGGGCTGACTTTCTCACTCTGCCTACCCTAAAGGACGGAGATAAGGTAAAGGTTGTTTTCAAATAAAAAAAATGACTTTTAAAATATCATTTGTTCAGATTACATTTTAATTTGGTTTATGACTATCCATATTCCATTGTACAATGTGAGAAAAAAGTGGTAGATTCCATTTTACTAGATGGCTACCTATCAAAAAACAGTTGAAATCATCTCTGTAGAACTCTTGCCAAAAATGTTTAACCTGAATATTTAGTCAAGTAGTTAAATATGGATTTGGGGATTGGCCTGGACTGTTCAAAAATGTCAATGTAACAAAAGACAAAAAAAGGACAGCAGCAAGTGGAGGGCACAATATGGATGAAAAGGAAACAAAGAAAAACATGTTGGCCAGATACACTTTGTGACCCTTCATGCGGTCTTGGATCAAACAATAGATAAAAAGTAGAAAGACCATTTGGGGGACAGTTGGGGCACTCTGCTCCATATATTAGATAATATTATTTTATCCACAATTAATTTCTTGAGTGTGATAATATTATGGTAATAAAGGAAATGTCCTTGTTTTTAGAAAAATCATGCTGAAATATTATTACAGGGAAGGAATGTTATGCCGTTTGCTACATATTTTCAAGTGGTTCAGATAAAAATATTTTTATCTAGAAAGAAAGCGAATGTGGCAAAATGTTAACAACAGCTGAAGAATTTAGGTGAAGGGTACCCAGGTATTCATTATTCTTTCAACTTTTCCAGTGTAATTGAAATGTGTAAAAGAGTAAGGTGGGGAAAAGTGAACAATGCATAAACAAAACAAAATAAAAAGTTGGCAAGTAATGAAAAAACTGCATGAATTTTCTAATAATAAAAATATGCTTTCATAAACCTTATTACCTAAACCAAAATAAATTCACTATATTAAAGTATTAAGGTATATTACTTAAGGGCAACACTAATTTTTCTAATACAAAAAATGGATAAATTAGGTGGCCTTAATTATACAACAAAAAGTCTCATTGAAGGAGTTTCCCTAAGTAAAAAGCTGTGTAATTTTTAAAAGCAGTGTAGAAACAGACCAAATGTTATTAAAAAAGATCACAGAAATTAACTCTAGTTCATCTTTATACAGCAGATCAGTATCTCTATGTTTCTCCAGACATACAACTTCATATATTTCTTCAAAAGAAAATTTAAAGACAAATAGAACATGTATAGTCAAAAGATGTGATGGTCCATATTTTATCATATACTTCAATTCAACCACTCCAAAGGTAAGCACCGTAAAACAACTAGAAACAATTAAGTGCACTCCACAGGCAGAAAACATGATATTCTGGTCTGAATTCCATTAAAGTAGTTCAGAGCAGAAATTCTATATAAAGAGTGAATGGGGAAGAACCCTCTAATAAACAGGACTTGGATGACAGTTGAAGATAAAATTTAAGATCGTGGGATAAGAGATGCCTTATCTTGAAAGTCTTCCTATAGATTTTTGAGTGAAAAATTTGTAACTAAACTTTTATAATCTTTGTAACAAACCGGCATATGTACGTAAGTATGTATGTGTGTGTTGGTGTATGGATATACACACATACATATCTGATAGATTCTCAAGGTGGTATAGTGTTGTTTAAATGCAGTGTGAGCACTCACATATTCTAAACAGACTGTTGAGGCTTTCCTGTTCTGACAGAAGGCTGGACAGTTGCCCATCAATCCAGTAAGAAATCAGAAAGTAACTCAAGGAAGTCCTTTTATGGGTTCATTTGAATATTAACTAGAAAGAGCAGCTCTGTAACATGAGCTAACAATTTATTGTTCAAATTAAATTAATTCATGACAAATTTAGATATCCTGTTAATGTGGTTACATTCTATGCTATAAAACCTGTTTACTGGTATACATTTCCTATTATTTTGTTTTCTTGGGAAAAACACATTTCCTTTACCAGATAAACTCTATAAGGGAAAGAAAAATAAGATTATTTTTATGAAATAACATATTTTTAGCAGTCTTTCCCTTTCCCTTATAAGATGGCAACAATGTGAACTGTATAGAAAAGAACAAATTTCATAAAATGCGTATTTTCAAAACAGTATTTTATTTACCTTGTTAATGGATACTAACAAAGCTGGTTCCACTCCAGCTTCAATTTCTTCAGGAGTATAAAAACAATAGAGTTTACCCCCTCTTAAAACACAATACAACCTTCTCCAACTAATCAGACCTTTTGCCATTTCCTGAAAAAAAAAAAAAAAAGAAAATCAAGAAACCATAAACCTTCAATCATTATTAATCATCATGTTAACTCTAAATTCAACAAAATACTTCAACTATCAAAGTTAAATGTTTTTTTTAAATTCTCAAATGTGATAGTTACCCATTAATTGACTTGTTAACTCTAAATTCAACAAAATACTTAAACTATCAAAGTTAAATTAGTTTTTTTGAAATTCTCAAATATGATAGTTACCCATTAATTTACCATACAATAAGTCAATACCCCAAAATCAAAGAGTAAGTTAATATCAGAGTTTGGAATTCTCAAAAAGTATTATTAAGCAAAATGGAAGTGATGATTACCACATAACTTTTACATAGATAAAATCATAAATCAATGCAGTTTTAGAGAAGCTAGTCTATTAAATATTAGTGCTTAGAATTCCCAACCAATTCATCTAATGACTCAGGAAAATTATACAAATAATTCAATATTCAAAATGCAATTTTCCCTTACTGTTCTCAAAACACTGGAAAATGTTGCCTACCCTGTAAGAATGCAAATTTTCTTTCCCCTTAGTGGAGTATTTCAGAAAAAGCTATTGATTCATTGAATCCTATAATTAATTATTTACTGAATATAAATAACTGTGGTTATAAATAAATCAGGAGTAGGTGGCACAGAGGCAGCTCTGAAAGCCCAAAGGCCTAAACTACGCCAAAAGCTGTCTACCAGGAAGTTCTTTATGTGAAAGGTGTTGAGCAATCCTCACCAATTTCCACAAGGAGCCCTCTGTTGCTGATTATACTGTTACTGCTGTTAATAAAGCAGAGGAACCTGGTGAGGTAACTCCTTAGCCATCAAAATTGCTTTAGACTCCACCCCTTCCCATCCTTACCTCCTGTATCCCCCTCCTTCAACCTATTTCTAACATTTAGAAAACCATCATTTAAAAGAAGACTAAAAAATATTTCTCAATTTCAGAAGATCAAACACTGCCAGTATATTAAGATCTAAATTGGAACTATAATTGTTAGGATATTTAAAGTCCTCTAACCTGCTGATTAAGAAATCCTGCAAATGCATCCTCAGCCATACAAGCTGGCTGGGCAACTAATCGGCAGCACATGTTGCCATATAAGGGCAGCCAAAATGAAGACTCCTCTATTTAAATGAGAGAAAAAAGTCAAGTTACAAATGTTTACCTACGATCATTATACATTTTGATTTTTTTCTTTTTACATTTTTTTTGCTTTATAGAAGAACATATGCAAAAGTTCTTAATTTACTCAGTGTACTTATCTACTCAAATATCAATACCTCATTTAATGACAAAATCAAGAGAAGAGACAAAACAGGATGACATTAAACTGATAGTTTACCGGTATGCTACACCTGGAATAGGCATGGAACTTTAAGTGTCTTGATTGATCTTAAAGTAATTAATCAATAGAAACAGTTCAGGGCATTTTACATTGAGAAAACTCAATTGATGTAAAAAAAACATTCTAATAAAGTGAGTTTTTATGTCAAATTCTACTTTTTGCTCTGATTTTCATTTTAATACAAAGCAAAGTGATCCTCTGAATAAAACATTTCAGAACACAACTGTGGGGAAAAGAAGTTCCTAATGGCCAGGATCCTCACCTGAACCAAATCACTTGCTGATGTAACTGGCCTGCTGCTAGGCTACTGCTTCCACATGCACAGGCAGTAAGTTATTGCCGACTGAGTCACTACATAAAGAGCTCTGCCCGGTGCTCTGTGCAGAAGCAGAGACAAAGGAGGATTACAGACCTGAAGACTGTTAGATGCAGACATAATTCTAGGGCTTGGCCTATCTTAGGGAGAATAAAGCCAGGTAATAAACTCTTTTACCCAAAGAGTAATTCCTCAGTCATTCCTCAGTCTTACTGGATCCACAGTGAACTTGCCCACGGCTGAAACCCATTGGCAAGACACCCTTCCTCTTCCTCTTGCCTTACTGAACAATTCAATTGTAAGCCATTAGGTGGAGACCACCAAGAGGGGCATCTGTGCCAGGAATTGGGGTTGGAGCCGTGGTGTGCTAGGACAGGGTGCTGGAGCCAGGCAGGATGAGGAGGCTGAGTAGCACTGCCCCACATGAGTTATCAGAGCCTGAATGGGCTGAAGACAAATCACAGGAAGCACAGTCTCGAGCTCAAAGGGGATCTCTGTTCAGGAGATGACCTGGTCTGGGGACTCAGAGCCCAAGGAGAGTAAGCAGGCATCTGTTTGGGATGGCTGCCCAGTGTGAGGTGTCAGAACTCAAGCAGTAAGAATGGTGAGCACATCTGGGTGGTGGCCCAGACATGGAAGTCAGGCTGAGCAGAAGAGAAGCCATCCACACATTTGGTGACCCAGAACAGTGTGTCAGAGCCCAGTGAAAAGGCATCCAAGCAGAGGCGCAACAAGAGCACAGGCAGGTCGAGGAGGGTGTCCCCACAGAGTGAGGGTGAAGGCAGCCAGGCCTGGGGAGTTAAAAGCCTGAGCAGGATGAGGAGGGCAGCCCTGTGTGGATTCTATGAGCCTAAAGCAAGGTAGAGAATGTTCACATGGGGCAAGAGGGAGCCCAGAACAGGGAGTCACAGTCCCAGCAGGAAGGAAGCATCTGTGTGTGGAAGAAGGGAGAAGAGCTGCTTTAGAGATGGACCAAAGAAGAAAACGCATTAACAATAGGTGACAGGTTTCTTCTCACTGTCAGAGAAAGGTAACAAATGTGTAGAATGAATTCTGTAGTGATGGATTAGAAGTGGATGTTCTGGTATGAACTCATGGTTTTCACCATACAGAGATTAAGAAATAAGTGCCAAAATATATATGCATGTATGAAGCTCTGTCCAGTAGGAGGGCCTAAGAATAGTAACACTCTGATAGTGACACTCTTAACAGCAATGAACATACCTAAAGCCCAGAACATAGCTCCTATATTATTTTCCATTATAAAGTACCAGCATTCTTTGGAGAAATGGGTGATTACAGGGCTGGAGCAGGGAAGGTGAGGACCCTGAAAAACCTAGTTATACCATAATGCAAGGAAGTACTCAATGAGGACATTAAAAAAGACATGGAAGCCAGCCTGAATGTGTTCCTATTGGCCAAATTGGAGACAATTTGAACCTCAAAATGAACAATGCTATTAACAGGTTATGATGCATGCAATAAAACAGGAAAACATGAGTTCAATTGATATAAATAAGTCAGTGAATAAATTGGAAGTCAAATAAGAAATAATATACTTACATAGTTTAATGGTATCACCTCCCATACACAAAATACATATTAATTATAAAGGGGAAACAAGAGTAACTTTAAAGCATAGAAGCTCGGCAGACACTACACAAACCCAGTGATCAAAGTGCACATCATCAGTAATGGGATGAATCAAAACTATAGGCCACCTGGTAAGATGGAGTGAAAATGTAACACCATTCCTGCCAGTGATGCGTACCTGAATCTTCCCAGGAAAATATCAAACACAAATTGAGGGACCTTCCACAAAATAACTATGATGTTTAAAAATATCAAAGTTATGAAAGGCAAAGAAAGATGAAGAACTGGTCCAGACTGAAAGAACTAAAGAAGCATGAAAATTAAACGCAATGAATGATTCTTCGCTGCATCCTTTTGTCATAAGGGACATTACTGGGACAATGAGCAACACCTGAAAGGAGTCTGAGGCATGGATGGATATTCGTTTCCTGACTCGGATAGTTGTACCAACATAGCCAGTTATCCTGTTTGTTTGAAATATGTAATAGCATGTTTGGGGGTAAGTCAGCACCACATTAACAACTTCCTCTCATACATTTTTTGGGAAAAAGAGATCTTAGCATTCAACTTGCAACTTTCCTTTAAATTTGCAACTGTTTTAAAAACTTCTTTCAAAAACCATTGTGATACTCCTTTAATGTAGTGTGCAGGTAGATACGCAGCTTTCATATCTGTATGGAGGAAAGGACTGCAAAATTATGCAATGTATCAAGATATAAAGACACAAAATATGGCCCTTCATTTACAATGGACCACATAAAAATGATTTTTTAGTTTTCACTGTACCTCTGTTGACAGTGCTATAAAATAGCTACCCACTGGCTGTTACTATTATTGACCAGAAAGTTTTAGTAACTCTGGGAAATAAAACATTTTCGGTAAAAATACAATTAGTTAAAGCTGGCCTGTGCATACAGTAAAACAACAAATTTGACTGGATCTATACTGTCAGAACTCAACCAAGAATTAGGAGAAGTGCAAGTTGCAGCGCTCCAAAATCTTGTGACTACAGACTATCTACTGTTAAAAGAACATACGGAATGTGAACAGTTCCCAGGAATGTGTTGTTTTAATTTGTCTGATTTTTCTCAAA